GGGGAAGGAGGAGCAGCTGGGGAGGGGAGGAGGAGCTGGGGAAGGAGGAGCAGCTGGGGAGGGGAGGAGGAGCTGGGGAAGGAGGAGGAGAAGACTAGAAGAAGAGGAGCCGCTGGCGGGGAGGAGGAGAGAGCAAGAGGAGGAGCTGGGAGAGAGCAGAAAGTCGAGCTGGGGAGGAGCCCAGAGCCACCGCCACCCTAGGTCCTGTCATTTTTCTGGTAGTGTTTTTGTATCGCTGCTCGCATACTTTTGTCAGAAATATTGTATTTCTCTTTTTTAAATTTTTATTTATTTTTTTAGTCATACATGACAGTAGAATGCATTTTGACATATAGAAATATTGTATTCCTATTATCCTCTCGCCTCTAGTAATGGTTCAGGCATTTTTGATTTATTAAATGTGTGAGGCATACTGTTTCAAAAAAGGGTGTCAGCCGGGCGCGGAGGCACAGGCCTGTGATCTCAGCCTTTCGGGAGCTGAGGCAGGAGGATCAGAAGTTCAAAGCCAGCCTCAGCAATTTAGGCCGTAAGCGACTTAGAGAGACCCTGTGTTTAAATAAATAAAAAAGACTGGAGATGCGGCTCAGTGGTTAAGCTCCTCTGGATTCAATACGCAGTACCAAAACCCACAAAAAAGTGGCAAAACCATCCATCACCCAGCCAGCCCGCCCGCATGCTGCTTGTTGGAAGTGCTGCTGAAAATCAGCTTGTTCCTTCTGCACAAGCCTCCAGTTGGAACCTGGTGAGGCTCTCCTTTCCTTCTTGAAGATCAATTGATTCATTGGTACCAGAGGTTGAACTCAGGGGCACTCCACCACTGAGCCACATCCCCAGCCCTATTTTGTATTTTATTTAGAGACAGGGTCTCACTGAGTTGCTTATTGCCTCGCTTTTGGTGAGGCTGCTTTGAACTCGCAATCCTCCTGCCTCAGCCTCCTGAGAGGCTGAGATTACAGGCGTGGCCACCGTGGCCAGGTTATTAGGATTTCCAACACCAATTAAGAAAACGTAGCAGACGCCCACAGAACATCAAGCCTGCAACTGTAAATGCACGTTCTTCACAACTACCCAAGACCTTGACCAAAACTGACCATGCACTGCACCACACAGAAGTTTGAACAAGCAAGAGAGCAGGTGCTGGGAGGCTTGGCCGGAGGACTGGCACCTTCAGCTCTGAGTAAGCACTGAAGAAGAACCGGCAGAAGCAGGGCAACAGCACACCCTAGGCTTGCAATGGGCTGAGAGGAGGTCTGCGTGGGGCGCTCTTCTCTCTCTCTCTCTCTCTCTCTCTCACACACACACACACACACACACACACACACACACGGAGGCTGTGGGGCAGGGGTATGGGGGTCAGCGTGAGTGTGGAACACTATTCATACATATATGGAAACATTGCATTATACTCTTTTGACAGTGAAACCTCAATAACCTCAGAGGAAAAAAATTATATTTCCACTCTCTCATGGGTCAAAGACTCAATAGAAAATGTTTAGTGGTTTTTAAATTTTCACTTACTTTTGTTCATATTTTACGTTTTTTAAATCTGAAGGAAAATAGATTGTTTCTTGAGTCTTGAATCCAGAATACATCTGGGTAATTTTTTCTTTCTTTTATTTTCTGTGTCTGGAGCAAAGGTTTCTGAGAATCACGTTTCCAGTGTTTCCATGTTCCTGGAGGGCTGGGGAGGTAGCTGAGAGGTAGAGTGCTTGCTTACCTGCCTGAGGTCCTGGATGAATTCCCAACAGGTGCAGAGGTTCAGGCCACAGCTGGGGGACACCATGGCTCTGGGGCCAAGGAGAGGCAGAGCATCATGGAGGAAGGGCCTCCAGAGGGAAGCGGCTCAGGATGTGATGCCAAGGAGGAAGTGACTGTAGGTTGGTTGTTTTTTCTTTTTTTGTACTGGGAATTGAACCCAGGGGCACTTAACCACTGAGCCACACCCCCAGCCCTTTTTAGAAATTTTTTTTAGGGCTGGGGCTATGGCTCACTGGTGGAGCACTTGCCTAGCACCTGTGAGACACTGGGTTAGATCCCTAGCACCGCATTAAAAAAAAAAACAAACTAAACAAAATAAAGGTATTTAGAGACAGGGTCTGGCTAAGTTGCTGAGTCTGGCTTTGAACTCAGGATCCTCTTGCCTCAGCTTCTGAGCCTCTAGGGTCACAGGCGTGCTTGACTCAGCCCGGCTGAGACTATTGATTTTGAGATAGGGTCCCAGTATGTTGCCCAGTCCAGCCTCCAACTCCTGAGCTCAAGTGGTCCTCATGATTCAGCCTCCCCGGTAGCTGGGAATACAGGTGCACACTACCACAATCACTAAATATTTTATTGAATTATAATAGCACATATCAAAACTTATAGGGTGTGATTAATATTGGCCCCTGAAGACCATCATTCTGCTTCTTGTTGCTATGAGCTTACTTTTTTAGGTTCTGCAAACCAACGAAGTCATGCAGTGTTTGTCTTTCTGTGTCTGGTTTGATTGGCTGAGCATAATGTCTTCTTTTTTTCCTGTTTATTTGTTTTGCTTTTTCAATGAGCATGTCTCAAGGTTTCTCTATGTTGTTTCAAATGCCAGGATTTAAAAATCTTTTTGAAAACAGTTGTAGATGGACAAAATGCCTTTATTTTATTTTATTTTATTTTATATTTTTATGCGGTGCTAAGGATCTAACCTGGGATTGGGCAGGGCTGACCCTAGACCTAGAAACCCCTAGACCACAGCACCCACTGGCAACCTTGAGGCTCCCCTCCAGCCACAGGAGCTTGAGGCCACTTTAATAAATTCTCATCCTGTTCTCTCACCTTCTGCTGTCTTCGAATCTCATTCTTGAATTTGCAAGACAAAAAACCCACCTGACTCCACGCCCCTCCACATGTGGCCACTTGCACATAAACTGTCTTTTGCAAAACTAATTTCAGTGCATGGCCACCTGTGCAGGGGCAGAACCAGCCTGGCCCAGCAACACCCTTACTCAACCTCCTTGAAGATGCTCCATGACAGTGTTCCCATGGGAGCCCTGTCCAGCGTGGGCTACACCGGGGTCACTCGGGTGAATTTGAGGTGACACAAAATGACCACACAGACATGGAAATACCTTTTTCTGGGTATCAGGCTGGCTTCCCTGCCTCCATCTGCAAGCTCCCACAAAGGGGGGCAGGAGGAAAACACGAGATGCTGGGGTGGGGAGAGAAGAAGTGGGGGCACGTTCTGAGGCTCAACTGTTGTTATTGGGGAAAGCTGTTTCATGGACTATTCTATCCAAAAAAGAGCAAAAGGGTAGGATTACAACAAACAGGTGGGTGTCACATTAAACCACGAGGCAAAGAAAAGACCGCCAACAGCAATTTTAAATCAAATTAAAGCAAGCTTGTAATTCCAGCCGGTTGGGACTGTCTCTCCCCAAATCTGTGGGTTAGAGGACAATCCCCCATCTCTCTAGGAGCATGGTTTATAGCACAAAAAGTTGCAAACAGGGGTGTCTTGAGCCCTTACAGATACAGGATTTGACAAGCATAATACAAAGGCAGAGAGTAGGTGATGATCTAAATGGTTCAACACTTCAAGGTAGGGAGTAAATTTAGATCCCACACCAGAATGTATGAGGCGCCGCAGAGGTTTCAGAGAGGGTTGCTCTGGTCAGGGAAAGCCAGGCATTCCAAGCAAGTTTAGAAATCGCGGTCATTTACAGTAAAACAGAAATCAGCTTTTCATGACTTTGTGACGAGACGGCTCCCACTCTTCAGAGGGAATCAGGCTGGGTTCATCAGTCAGCCAGCCACACCAGGTGATGTCCACTCCCAGAGCTGCATCTTTCCTGTCCCAGCAGAGGTGAAGACCATTTGCATTGAAGGGTGCAATGCCAGTCCAGTACCTGGCCGCCCCCGACACTCTTTGAGAAATCTTTCTCTGTATGTTGCTTTGGCCAATAAATTCACAACCTTTCCTCAGAAAACACCAGGTGCTGATGTGACACTAGGGAATGCCACCAAATAGTTAAGGAAGGAGTAACACAGTTTTCTGGCATTAGCAAAAGAGGGAATAAC